ACATGATATAAAACCGCTTTCTCTATAGAGAAAGACGATCACCCGGAAAAATTTCTGCCGAAAAGTAATGTGATACATGGCATTGTGTGACTGACCACTTTTTCACATATACCCATGCCTGTTCCATTTATCGTTTTTTTCGCTTTTTTCTTGTGTACCATCCGCAGTCTACCAATAAAAATCCACCAAAAAATCATATATAATTCGAAATGTCTATTACTTTGGTCTGTTTGGTTAAAGGAAACTTACCCGCGAATGCTTTCCCTGTCGATATCGATAGGAACAAGCTCGTTGGCTACCTCAAGGAAATTATTAAGGCGAAGAAACCTTTGACTTTCCGTGATGTAGAAGCCGACGAAATAAAACTGTGGCAGGTAGAAATTCCTGACGATCACGATTCCGAGCTGGCCAACCTCACATTAGATTTCGAACTTCTGGCAACTCGAGACGTAGGAGATTTCTGGACTGCACCACCAAAGCGACATATTCACGTCATAGTCGAGCCACCGGTGCCAACCGCCACTTCGAGCCGTGAGCAAGAATTGCTTGATCAACTCGCCTTGTTGCGAGCACTCAATAAGTCTGTTCATGGTACGTATATATATGTAAAAATTTCTCGAAATTTCCGAGACGGCCCGTCCCCAAAATTCTTGGCAAAAAATCGTTCCCTCAGGGAACGATCAGACTATATCCTTTTTTACTAATCCAGCTGTTGTGTTGCAGAATTCGATGTTGTCGTAAGCCCGAAACGGACGAAGGGATTCAAATGGACGGTGAATATCGAGCATGCAACCCTCGAAGCTCTCAAAGATTCCATACGTGCAGTATACCAAACACCGGCTCTTGAAAATGATGGAGCGGTGTTCAACGTTGTATGCGACAGCGTGAAATACTCACCTCGAAACGATCAAGCATTGCGTGAAATGCTCCGGTTGCTGGTATCAAAGAATAACCTCAAGTTTACCGTCTTCATAGACTCCCTCAAAAGCATTCAACAACTGGACTTTCCCGAAAGTTTGCCAACTCTACAATCTTAGCGAAGATCCGAATCCAGATGTATCTGTATTTCCAACCTTTTCTTGCGGTTGCTCTGATACGAAAAACGTAAATTTCCAAGTCGCCCTCGATAAATTAATGGTAGAGCTACAAACCCGTCTTGCCACGACGCCCATCAACCTCTCGTACGAAGCAACAAAAACGATATATACCTATTCGTACCTGGCATCTGCCGTGTCGCTCTTTGAAACACTGATAAGGATCCGACCTGAAAAGCTCATCGAAGGTGTGCAGAGTTATTTCGCTTTCGTTCGTTGATATAAAGTCTTACTATTCCGTCCTCAATAGGAAAAAATGGGCAAGGTAAAACTGATTATGCGATGGAATCATGTGCGACGGGACGGATTATTGGCGTTGTAGAAGTCAAAAGGGAAGATTTTTTGCAAGGCATTGCGCAGGCAAGCGTACAAATGGAATCATCATTGGTGAGTATACAAGTATGCATAAGAATTCGCGATTCTTTTTTTCGTTTTCTGGATTCCTTATATCATGTAAATACTGTTTATGTATATAGACGAGCCGTAAACGGAAGGTTGACGAAATGGAGACTGAACAAGTTGTTGGTTCCGTTTTCGCAATTGTGACTGATGCAAAAGAATTCTACTTCCTTGAATGCACATTGGACGAACAGGAGAAACCATCGTTCAAGTTATCGAAACCGGTCGTTGTTGTATACGAGGATGAGGATATGAAAGTCAAGTTCTTTCTCATATCGTATGGCTACTAGAAGAGGTTCAAAAAGCGGATGAATTGGAAGGTGGAAATAAAAGAGTTAAAGTAGGTTAGCTTAGCAAATGGCTATGGTTTGATTTTGTAATTACTGTGAACCAATGGCCTATTTACTATTAATAAATTACTGTGTGCATTAACGAAGATCCGGAAATGTCAATCGTGTTATGTGTATTTCATTACCAGTATAATGATCATCCACCGCATACAAAAAATAACTGATGTCCCTGACCCTCAATTCATTTAATACGGGGTGTACAATATAGTTAATTCATCTATTGAAGCATCTCCCCAACACAAATTTTGTTTTGCGCGCGAATTCATAATGAAGCGACAAATTGGCTTTCTAGGAGTCATACACAAAGAAATGAGCGAGATACCACCATGAACTATAAAACACGCCAATTTCGCAAAATATATCCACGGGTTCGTTCTTAGAACAATTTACAATACAACGCAAAACGCACACAAATCTAATAACTCGTTAGTGCGAAATCACAAATTATATCGCGTCAAACCGTGGGATACGCAATTCGTGTTCGTCGCGTTCATGCTAGTCCAATCACTAGTATTCTGTGTTTATCTACAACTCTCGAAAACTGGAAAATCATATCACTTCTCTGTTCGGTCTTTACCGTCACCTCAACCGCAGATTTACTGCGAGGTCGAATACGATGAATAAAGCGCGTCAAAAAAGCGTATATGACGAACAATTGATCCAGACACGGAAGGGTAATCACACCGAAATACAATTTCTTCAAAAGACGTTATGCGCAACAAGGTCCTGTAAACTCGACAAATCAACTCGCCATTTTGCAGACCCTTTATGGGCGAGTCAAATCCTAAATATTGCGACGCTCCTGAACATTCATTTTATCTGGGTTGGGTATATGTTAGCAGGCGGGGTAAATATAGATTTGTTTTATGGACAGTGGATGAATCATTTAGCCGTAATGTATCAGTTTTCTCAATTGTGAAGACCCTAAAGAATGGGAACGTTCATGTTGTCTTGGTCAAAGGCTTTGGATCCCTGAGCGATTTCTCCCATGCAAGGTCTTATTTTGTAATATCGAAAATTTTTGAAGTCATGTAAATCATAAAACTTTATTTAAGGAATATATTAGCATTTTCCTGGATATAACAATATATCGATCGAGACTGAAAAGTTACAGTCTTATTTTGAGGGTGATATGCAAATACATTACCATCCAACAACTTGCTTGGTTCCACTTTGGTCATTTCTCGAAGCGTACTAACATGAATGATACCATCGGAATTTAACAAAGCTCTTATTATAATTTTTGCCGCCTCGTGATATGGTTGACGTGGATTCATTTCTGCCTTCTCAAGATTATCATAAACTGTACCAAAGACTTGCGCTTTAATGACTACAGAAAAAGAGTTAAGTGATTAATCCAAAACACTCGTGTAAATGCATTTGATGAAACTGATTCTTACCTTCAAAGGGTTGTCTAGCCTGAAATTTATCAGCCGTGGCCTTCAGTTCTAAGATGCGTCCACCTACTAAATCATATAGTTTTTTTGCCTCTACAGAGTTGATCTTGCGCTTGTCGATTAGATATTCCATTGATTCTTCCTCGCTAAGGTCTCCGATTTCTATCACTGGTTTGTCTGCACGTGACCAAGCACTACGAGCTAAAATAAAATCACAATCTGTAACAATTCTTGGGGTGCACCAAAAAACAATGCAGTACTTACATTCCATTCTTCGAGGAACCGAACCTTCGCTACTGACAAATACTGCGATGTACTTTCGGTGATCAGCATTCATTTTAGCGTCATCTTGGAGAGTATCAAGAACTTTTGGGTTCACATTAACTAATTTGGCAACGTTATCATAAACGATGACTGGAGGTTTGTTGTGTTTTGCTTCGTACACTGCACTAGCACGCTTGAAGGCTTCTAAGGCTCTTTTCCACTTGGGACGCTCATCTTTACCTATAAAGAGAAACACTAGGATCAAAAGCTTCGGTTGTAAAGGATAATAATGATCAACTTACTATTGGTATGACCTAATATTTTATTCATAAACTGTCCCGTAAAAGAGATACGTTCCTCAAATGCCAAGTTAAGAGATTTTCCAAATGCTATGCCAAAGTCCTCTATATCTTCTGCATCAGCAGGAATTTCAACGTATATGACACCCATTCCGCCCTGTATACCCTTGTCCTTATCCTCCCCTACTTTCCTTGACGCAATTCTGGTTAACGTGGTTTTCCCAGTTCCGTGTTCTCCACAGACCACATGATAATATGATTGGTCTTCATCAGGCTGAAGAATCTTTTTAAGACGCTCCATAATTACAGGTCGAGGAACCAATGTGTCTTCTGAAGCTCCCACATCAGGTCGAGTGCCCTGTTCCACTGTCTCGTTGAGAAGACGTTCGTTACATCTATTCCGATACCAAGCGTATAGAAGATCCCACGATATACCTCCAACAATGACAGTTCCAATTATGTTCGCCAGTATAGCAATCTACAAATAACGAAAAGGTGTTGAAAACTTGATCGAAAAATGCATAACAAACAATAATAAACCTCATACCGGAAGCCGTTTTACAGTGTATTTGTTCAGGTAGGACGATGTAGACTCTTCGGGAGACGTATGGAGGGAAGGTGAAGAGTTTGCGTAAGGTCTCGAAAGTGATGATTGAAATAAGTCAGGTCTCAAGTTTCTCAACATAAGACTCGGCGACTGAAGGAATAGTACTCGACGGTTAACGAAGTGAGTTTGAAAAATCGTTCCACGAAAATGGTGAGTTATTTTGGAGGAAGATATTGTTGGTTAAAGGAGACTGATCATCGATCACACGATTCATCAGTAGTAACAAAGTGAAACAGAAAAAAAATGACAGATCATGTGACTTCCGATCACATTCTGTCTTTCCGGAGTTCCCGCCCATGTAGATCTTCTTTTTTGGAATTAGTTTAATATATAATAGTAATATTATATTGGTATTACATGTATTAGTTTAATAAATAATATATTAAATTATTACTAACATCTGATAAAGAAAAAATATAATACTTTTCACACTAATATATAAATCATGAGATATCAGCATTTAACACAATCAAAAAGCCAATTATTGATCTCTGGAATATTGCATGATATGTTGCTGAGTCCTTGCATTAAGAACTTTATAACATCTATCAATTTCTTGTACAAGTGACTCTGTAACCTTCTAGTTATATAGTATAATATATCCAGATAATTCACACAGAAAAGTTAAAATATAATATTATATCAGAAAAATTTACATAGAAGATTCAAGATATATAGCAATATTATTTGAAATAGAATTCACACAGAAAACTAAATCAAAAGTAGACAAGAGATTATGTTTTTAAAACTTATTTTTTATTTGATACTTTGATACTTAAAATTACAGAACAGATACAGTATCTTTAAATAATAAATTAATATTACATAAAATTAATAATAAAATAAATAAATTAATAATAAATAATACT